CCCGCCCCCCGCGCGGTGTCGGGCGCAGACGGAGCGGCGGCGCCATTTTGCGGTGCTGCGGGAGACGGTTTGGGAGGCTCTAGCGGGAGGGAGGTGGCGGCGATACTGGTAGCAATCACAATAACAATAATAGCGGTAGCGGGTACAGTTGCAGCTCGGGACTAGCGTTCCCGTTCGCCCAGCCCCGTGGCCAGGACTCTGCCGACATGAGCGACGTGGAGGAGAACAACTTCGAGGGGAGGGTGAGTGGCCGTCCCTACCCGGGCCGTGCTGAGAGGGGGTTACCGGACCCGGGGAAGGTGGCGGGGGGCGCTCTTCTCCCTCCGGCCCAGTAGGGGTGGGGGTAACGCAGCTTGTTTCTAAAATGGCTTCTTCAGGCGCTCGAGTTTTGACTGGGCCGTGGGCGACTGGCTTCCCTCTCCTCCTCCTATCTCCTTTTTTCGGTGTGTTTTGGTTGTGTTGTTGTGTTGGGTTTTTTTTTTTCATTTTGCCTTCCCGGCGCTGAGGAGCTGGCCCATCGCGGAGCTGAGCTCCGCTGCCTTAACCCTCATCCCGCTTCCTTCTCCCACAACGTCTCCGTCCCCATCCCCCTCCGTCGAGGTGCGGGCCCTGAGCTCTGGTGCTGCGGGTTCGCGTCTACCCTGCTAGCGCAGGTTTTGGCGTTAAGAACAGGGCTTAGAGCGCTGGTGTAGCCCGGTGTTTCATCCCGCTTCGCTCTTTATTTTCTTTTCTTCCCGCCGGTTGTCCCGGCCCTCTTGTTGTCTGCCTGTCTCGGCTTCGGGGTGGCTGCCCCTCCCCGTCGTGCCCGCGGGCAGTGCCGGCCTCCCGGTCGTGGCTGGGAGAGCGCGGTGGAGCCGAGGCCTCCGCCAGCATAAAAGAGGAGGGACCGGGTCCTTTTGTGAGAGGTGCGCTGCCTCTCCTGGCTGCTGGCCTGCAAACTGGATCTTTCTCGGGCCAGGCTTCCTGAAGCCATCGGGGGGGTATGGCCTTCGTTGTTAAACCGTTGGAACTCATTGATAACGCGGCTGAAGACTCTTGTCTCAACAAGCTGCTGTGGCTCTGTAACCTGGTTAGGCCTGTTTCTTCTCTCTTCCCTCTGATTGCGGCGGTTTATGTACACGTATGACTGGTTCTTTCCATTTTCAATGGAGTTTTTTCTTAGTGATGATCAAGGCAAGCAGGAATTAGAAGCTGCAGGAAACAGGAATGAAATATGTGCTTTGTCCTCAATTCATCAATATTTCCTTTCTTAGATTTTTCAGAGATTTTTTTTCTCTCTAAGAGATTCTTTAGAGGAACACCTGAGCATCCTTTTGGTGACTTTCTCTGATGAACCAGGGACAGCAGCTTTGCAGTTTTATAGGTTTACTGCCTGGGGAAACAAGCAATGAAATTTTGGAAGAGCAGTGTCCCATTTTACCCTAATGTTGTTACCTTTTGGTAGTGTTAGTAAAAAAAAAAAATCCCACCACAAAAAAAAAACCCAAACAAAACATTCCTTCGGCTGAGTGTGCCTGTACCTGGCTATGCAGTGACTGCTGCTGTTTCCTCAGGTGGGGTAAACCGAATCTCTTCTTCTGTTGATTGCCTGCATAAAGATGGCTATACAGCTAAGCTCTTTTCAGCTAAATAAACTAATCTCCGAAGGGGTAACTACCTAAGTCTGAGGAAGTTGAAAACCAAGTATGCTTTGTTGTTAACTTTTCAAGATTTTTACTTCGGTCTCCCACTTTACAGTACGATTTATATTTTTTAAAATTATTTTCTTGTCCGTATTCCCACTGCGGTTTATTGTTAGGAGATACTTGTTAGGTTCATCCACAGAACTTCTGTATTAGGTTCCTTGATGGATCTGTTGTTCCATGTTACGAAGCTGATATAGCTGTGTGTTTTCAGTATTTCTGCATGCCTTCTGCGAAATGTAGAAGTAAAATAATGTTTTGAGAGGAGGTGAGGTTTGAGGAATCCAATGTAGGAGTTCCTGTGCCTGCTACTTCTTAGTTGGCTTGTTTTTTGTTTGTTTGTTTGTTTGGTTTTTTTTTTGGTGGAAAATGTACCTGTTGGAAAGAGCTGCTCACCATGTTGGGTCTTCATTTGGAAAACTTTCATTCTTTCCCTAACACTGGAATTTCTCAATCAGTCTGGCATGTGGCAGTGTCTTGTCTACTGGTATCTTTTTATAACTGACCATAATGGCAGATACTTGATGTGTTTATAGTTCTGTTTCTTTTTTCTACTAAGGAAGAACGTTTCTAGGCAGTTCTTTTTTTTTTCTTCAGTAATGCTTTATTATTGTTGATGCTACTAAAATACTTGAAATAAGAAATTGTATTTGAGGCTATGGCATTTCATACTTTATTTGCACTGAAAGTGCTCACAGGCAGGAAATTAAGCCTGTGTAACTTTTGGGCTTTAGTGTTTAGTCTGCTGTTCCCAGTGGGATAGAACTCTTACACACTGAACGTTGTCCTAGTGCTTCAGTTTGCTGTATGAAGGCAAGTCGAACTGAGACAGTGCGGCATAAGTTTTTAATGGGAGGAAACTGCAGAAACTGGAAATAAGTTTGTAAAGGACCTGCTTTCCTAGAAACCGCTACGAAAAAATAATTTTGAGTACTCTTTCAGTTCCTCCCCTTGAGTTTAAATACTAAATAGTGTGATGTGCTTTTAAAAAAATTAAATGCCAAAGCAGTAAGGGAGTTTTGAGTCCTTTTATATTCTGTCCGTGTAGATGCATTATGTCCCAAAAACACTTCAGTGAACGTTCTGGCAAATAGTGATGAAACTGATACCAAGGTAAAGGTGCTTATTGATATGTGGGAAGTTTTGTTTTAGAGATTAATTAGAAAGTGTTTTCCTGTTTTGCTACTTCGTGAAGAAAAAATGTTCATATATAAATCAGTAAATTTTTTTTAAATTTTCCCACAATATTATCAGGAATTCTACTTTAAAAAACAAAACAAAACCCCCCACCTTATTTATAGCAGTATTAAGATACTCTCCATGTATATGCTTTGCCTTAATTCATGATTTTAAAATCATAAACTGAACACGAAATTTAGAATGATCATGGAAATAACTTCAATGAGAATGTGTAATTTGCACTATTTAAAAACTTGCATTTCTAAATAGTTGGGTAAAATCATTGTAATCACTGTAGATATTTTTATTGAGCTCACTCATTTCTTTGACATTTTAAAGCAAACTTTATTAGTCTGAACATATTTGATTAACATTTGCTCTGTTTTTGTATCATTGTTTCAACTTCAGCAAGTTCAGTATTAAGAATGTTGCTGGTTGAACAGCAGAAATCATACACCCACACACACACCCCCTAAGCAAGCACGATGATTTGATGGAAAGAAATAGGCAGAAGAATTAGAAATATAGTGGATGTGCTAGAGCTAAGTTTGGACGTTTAAGAAGAAAAAAGATTTTAAGTCCTGCTTCTTACTGGTGATTTGACTTTTGGAAAAGTCATGGGATTTTATCACCATTGAATGTTCTTTGTGAGCATCTTAGGCAAATTAGGCTTTTTTATCTTTTATTGCTGTCAGATGACAAGCAACTCTTACTTGCTTTCATACTCCTCGTTATATTTAATAACACATTCATTGGATGCACATTTTGTGATGCAACTTTGTTCCCTGGAACAGTGAATAAGTCGGAGTCTGAACAAACCTACACTTCAGAAGCTCCACTTGAAACTTTGATTTTTTTAATATTTTTTTTTTAGTTTCTGATGTTTGGTTTCTGTAAATGTAGAAGTTTAGCAGTTTTATACCAATATTAATATGCTGCTTGTCTAAATAGATAAAGCTTTTTAGCAGAACAAAGATAGAGCTCCAGTTTGGTTGTCTTAATTCTGATGAGATGCCTCTTCATGCTCTGCACAATCTCACAATGATCTTAGTCTAGCAAAGCACTTGAAGAAATACATGGTTTGCATGTGAGTCATTTTGTTGAAGGAAGTATGCATAGTTCATATGTATGCAAGCAGCTTTTGGATTAGCTTAACTGTGAATGTGTCTTGTATTTGCTTCATGAAGTTTGTATGCAAAATACTTCTTTTCATGTGTTCTAATGTTTGTTACCTAAAGCTCATCACCTTTGAGATCGTTTCTTTGGCCAAAAAAAAAAAGGGGGGAGGGGGAAGTCTGTTTAGCTATTGTATTCAACCTCTCCTGTAGTGGCTGGCTGTTCTCTCCGTGGAAAGGAAGGCACGTTGCTTTCTGTACCTTCTGAAATACAGGCATGATGGTCTGCTTATCCTCAGGAGTTTGCATTTGCTCGGAGAGTGCTGTGATCACCCTGTGGTTTCTAATGACTAGTGTGGGAAATGAGACTTTTTCTGGAAGCAAATTTTTTTTTGAGTTTAGTAAATTCTAGATGGTTTTGGACCAGGTCAACTGAGAAGACTGCTCTTTTTAAAAACAAATCCCATTTTCTATGTGATTAAGTGACTACAAAACCTTCTCTGTAGAGGCATATTTTCCAGCTTCAGTGAGAAGATTTTGTAAATTGAAAAAGTTTATTGCTGAAACTTCCTCTTTTTTCTTTTTTTTTTTTCCTTTTAATCAGTATCAATATTGTTGAGAAATATATAAAGTTTGCTGATGTTGGTAGCTTTTAAAAATATACATGTCTTCAAGATAGCACAACTTGGGAGTTTCTTTTTATACAGAAGCTTATTACATATACTACTGAAATATTTATAGAAGAACAGCTAATTAAGGAATCAGTTTTATCTTTAGTATAGAGTGATAGAACATAGGATGAAGCAAAAAATTATTTCTCCAGTGAGTTTCAGGGAAAGTTGGTAGATACTTGTCAAAAAGTGGTTAAAATGTAATCTTGTTCTTTCTCATAAATGAGATGTAACTAAATTGACCGTTTTATCTGGTGAATGTAGGCTGCTGCTAAATTTCTGTTTCTTTTTGGATTATTTATATTTTTCTGTCCCCTTACAAAGTTGGACTTCATTTAATTTTTGAGTTTGGGCAGGAGATTTTAGCAGGATTTTTGTAAAGTCTAAGCTCTTATTTTGCTGGCTTAATGGTATTGCTGTGCTACTTGTCCTGTCCTTTTTTCACCCTGTGTGTGTTTCTTAACAAGGTTAAATGAATTTCAACTGCAATTTCTATGTGATTTAATGATTTTTTTTTTTCTTCCCTCCCATTTCCCTTCCCATGCTTTGCTATAGAACGCCTCATTTAGGCTTATTCAGTTCTTATTTATTGTCTCACTTTAAATTTTTGTAGCCTTTCTGTCATACTCCGAATTGATAAGGTGTGAGGTAAGGCATGACAGGATGGTGTAAAAGAGGACAATTTTCTTTTTTTTTTTCTTTTTCCTCCCCTCATGGTCTTTATCATACCCTCTCATGATAGGTGGAAGACTGAAAGGATACTTCTTACAGACTTTTGCAATTCTACTTTGCATAAAAGTGCTTTGAATGCTTTTAAAATAGTAATTATATCAGAAAGTAGCATCTTTCGAAGGATGCAAGGCAGATATAACTTGAATCAATTACGTGTTTTAAACAGTTGTACTAGTATGAATGAAGTTCGTTGACATGACTGACGTCTTGTTCAGCTGGATCATCTAAAGTTGCTGACAGCTGTTCAATGACTGGGTTTATGTGACCATGAGGAGGGGAATGTCCTTTCCATACCACTTCGTTTTGTGTTCTTTCTGGGAAGAGCAAAGGTAGAAAGGATAAAAAATAGCTTTCAATGCTCTCTTTAAATGCTTTTAGCTGTGCATCTTCTTATCCAGTGAATCAGTAACTGAAGCTGCAGTCTTTAGATTTTGCGTTTACCTACAATAATTTCTTTGGCTCTGAGTTCTACTACTTGGTGAATCATTAATCTCCTTTCCTGGTATGCACTTGAGGAAGCTGTCACATCTTATTGTGAGGAAGCATGCCGTTATGATTGAGATTTTTAAATTACTATTATTTTAGGTGAGGTTTCAGTGTGGTTTTTGTTCGTGAGTGTTATGCGGGGTTTTTTTATTATTTTAGTTTTGTCCTGGGAAAAGTGTTACTGACAGATAAAGCATTTGTTTTGAAAGGGAAGTCTGATCTGAAAATACTGGCAAGTATTAGGAAGACTGACTCTTCCTACAGGCTGTAGTGACAGCGGATGTACATAGTTTGACATGGTCACAGTGAGTATCTGCCTATAAGTTTATAAGGTAGAAAGCAGTGATTAGACAATTGCATAATAAAGCTGAAGGCATTAAAATGCTGTTTTGTAAGATAGTTGTGGGATGAGAAGCTGAATTTAAGAAATGCAGTCTTAATCTGTGGCCCTTAAATGACTGAGAATCCTTAGAACAGGCAGATAAGAAAATGTTGAGGATCCAGAGCAAAATTTTAGGCTTTTCTCTCTTAGGCAGTATGTAATTTCTATGCTAACAATGGAACTAAGATCAGAATGCATAGATTACTTAGACTACTACAGAATTGAGAGATTTTTAATGCTTTGGATAATAGGTGTCTGTTTTCTCTCATTAAAGATGGTGTACTAAGAAATAATATTAATTATTTAATTTTCTCATATTGTAGAATGGATATGAATTGTATATGCAGAACAATTGGGTTGGTCTGCGATATAGACTAAGATATAGCTTCCTAATTATTTCCTTACAGTAGGAAGTAGAGGAGGAGAATTATTTAAAACATCCCTTTGTGACTCCTTGAAACTCTGAATCTCTTAATCCCTGACTGTAGTCTTGCTGATATAAATCTTATTAGGTACTTTTTCAGCATCAGCCTTAAGTCCTTAAACTCTTGCAGATTATTGTGATTCCCTTAGTCTCTCCTTTTGAAGCACTGTAGGAGATATAACTAGGTGATCTATGTTGCATCAGAAGATGAGATGTAATTGCCTGCCAATGACAGACACAGTATGCAACTGCTACCAGGTAATCTCTCTTTAGCTGCAGTTTACATCTACACTTACTTTGTTTAAGGAAGTTTGAAATGTGTAAGAATTTATGCTGTTACCTCTGTTACTCCAGTTTTAAAGTTGTATGTTTGTGAGTGCGGCTCCTAAAGCTTTTAAACAGGTATTTCCAAAAGGACTTGACCTATGTGAAATAATGTAACTTTTGCTCTTGGCAACTTAATAGAGGTTTGTTGTCATAACTGATACTATTAGAAACTCTGTGGATGGTGTCATAAGATGCTTCAGTTGAATATATAAGGACACTAAGCTAATTTTTGTGTTGTATGGGAGTGATTGGGTCCTTGATATTTTTGGCACCTCCAAAAACTTTTTGATTGAGCGGTATTTGGGGTTTTTATGTTTCTTTTGTTCAAGTTTCCAAAGTTCTTGTTGTTCAAGAACTGATATTTCAAATGTAAAAAAATAGGGACAACACAGTATCCTCATTAAGGAGTGACTGAGGAGGGTGTCTTTATTGAAGGATGTTTTCTAAATCTGAATGATACCACATTAAATGTTTTCTTGTATTGCTGATCACTTACTAGGCAGGCAAGTGGCAATAATTCCCAGAGAAATTGGCAATTGTTGCAGAGGAAGTGTAAAAAGAAGAATTAAGGAGGCTATCAAACAATGAAGAGTACAAAAATAGATTAAAAGGCATGTTAGTGGTTATAAAAGGTATTTTTTATAGTGAACAGTGGATTTCAAATGTAAAAATAAAAACACCAAATAACATTTGCTAATAGTTAAGTGCACGTATATCCTTTTATTTCAATGAAAGTCATGTAGCTAGATCAGCAGATAGCCCGCTTTTTGATAAGAGTAACCTGTAATGCAGACCTGATTATGGTCCATGAATCGCAGCCAAGCTTCAAAATTGGCCTTCACTGATAAGTTTGGCAGGCCTTTTATCCCAGTAGGTGACATTCTCCATGTGTCCCTTGCCCCTTTTTTTGAGGTAAAGCAGAAAGGTAGTGTAGCTGTAATATCTGTTGGTAAGGAGGCCTTCGGGTTTTGTTTCTGGTGGATTTATTGTCTTGAAATCTGAGGACATCATCCTTTGAAAAGAACTTCAGTGCAAAGTACTGAAGAATTTTAACAGTAAAAGAAAATGCAAATCTGAACATAGACTAAGAAATAAATTGAGAAAAACATTTGTCCTCCTGCCTGTTCTCACATGATGCAAATAAACATGAAATGTAACACTTATGGGAGGGGAGGTTTCTATGCATTTTTCTTTAATAATTTTGCACATTTTTTTTGTTACGTTACATATGTGTAGAATATAATATTCTGTAGGGGGGTTTTATAGCTGAGCTCCCTAGAAATACTGTACCAATATAAGAATGTGGGGAAATCCTAACCTGCTCTTTGTTTGCTTTGTTTTCCTAGTTTTTCTCTTGTGTGTGTTACCATGCAAGAAAAAACCCCTCCTGTCTTGTCTCTTATTGGATTGCTTTGAACTGTACTATTATACTTCTTGTTTTATGTGGATTAAGTTGTATGCAAGGAAAAGAGGGTAACAATGAGGACGAAAAAGTAGGAAGAAAAGTAACTTGTTGCATATATCTGTGCATGTATTATGCGAGTAAGTATGTGCATAGATAGGTTTTGACTGGAAATCTTTGGCCATTCTGTTCAACTGAGAGTGTCTTAGTAAAAATGTTCAGGAGTAGAAATTGGGATATTTGGTACTGAGAAGTACATAGTTACTATTTTAGGGGGAGGTCACAGTTATTTATATCAGTACTTTAATATATTTGTGCTAATTAGTTTTTAGTGTATCTGTGTATCTTAAAATCTGAAAGGGGAGGAGGGTAGTTCTGAAAATACAGTAAAACACTGAGAACTCAGTAAGCTCATTGTTAGAACGTAGACACTTATACAGTTTTAAAGATTTTTTTTTTTAAAGTTGTTTTATAAAATAGTTTCTTGCACTTTACCTGCTGGCTTTTCAATTTGGTAGATAACATCTGAACTCCAGCAGAGTTTTATAATCCCCACGTGCTTAAATATACTAAATGTTCTTTTTCCATTAAGGTTAATGTTCGTGAAGAAATTGAAGAGTTTTTTCCAAGAATGTGGAAGATAAATCAAGATAAAAGAAGGCTAATGAAAAGTATTAAAGATCAGAAAATTAAAATTGAATGGGGGAAAAAATTGAACAGAAGATTGGTCAGATAGAAGCACTTGAATATTTTTTTAAGGCTATAAGGAATTGTTTGAATTGGGGAAGAATACACGAAGTATGAAAAATGAAAAACTCAATGAAGAATGAAGAAAAGTAGAAAGCAAGAGTGAAGTAGAATTAAAAGAATCTGGAAGAATGAATGGGTCCTAGGTTAAGTAAATGTATGGTTTATGTTCCAGTGTCTGTATGATCAAGTTGTAGATGAATTTGCATGATTACTTAGTTAATAGAGAATTGGTGATCTGGTTCAAGCAGGGACCTATTTGAGGAAAGCATACAATATTAACAGTGGGTTAGCAAAATGAAATTTGTTTTGGAGGGTATTGCCTAACCATTTGTTTTTCAGGAGCAATCAATATAATAGAATTACTGTACTTTAAATGTTAGGAGTTAGGCATTTATACAACCAATACCATTTTTAATACTGTCTTTTTTGTTAGGAGTCTCGCTCCCAGTCAAAATCTCCAGCTGGGAGTCCTGCTCGTGTAAAATCGGAGAGCAGGTCAGGATCTCGCAGTCCATCGAGGGCTTCCAAACACTCTGAATCGCATTCTAGGTCAAGATCAAAATCAAGGTATGTCCAGGAAGTTAGTCATGTTAATCTAGTGTTACTGCATATGCCTGTTTTGGTACCTAGATGAGATTTCTTCTCCACTTGTAAAATATATAAACCTTCTGTGGTGTTTTAACAGGGTGATATTAATTTGCATGTCAGTTGATTGTTGAAAAAGTTGGAGAAAGATTCCATGAGTAATAAAGCATGGGTATGAATAGAGCAGGTAATATAAATAGAAGTAATGTAGAATTCATAACTAAAATTTGTAGGTTTATCTCTTCCAGAAGAGAAAGAAGGGATTGCATTTCAATTCTGTAAAATCTTCTGTCTCTTTCCACCAAAATCTTTTGGTGGGGAACTCTTGTGTGGACTTCTCCTTTAGGAAAAAACAAAAAATCAAGTGAGAACTGCAGCAAAGATAGTCTGGATTAGACAAAATGAGTAAGCTCTGTAACTGTTAAGAAATGTTGGAAGATGCTACTTGGGGAAGTTCTTGACATTCTTTCATTAGAGGCTTTAAAAACAAAATCTGAAAACTACAGCTTAAATGGAGTGTGGATAGCTTCTTGATTTATGGGAGTTTTAAGTTTTAAATTAATTTTTTGATGCTGCATATGTCCTTCTGTCCCTTACACCAACTCTGTATGTGCAGAGACAAAGTTTTATAGTTCTCAGTTCTGAGAGAGGTTGCTCAGAACAGAGGAGGAATGTCTTGTCTTTTTTCCTCTAAATATGTCATAAATGTTACCTGGCTTACACTACCAATCTTTTCTCTTCCATTGTACCATCATATTGGTGAAAATGGGGAGAGCTACTGAATCCTTCTTTCACCAATGAGAGAGAAACCTGAAAACAGCATTTGTAGCTCTGGAGGGGGAAGAGAAATTGTGTAGTATTATGTTGTTGTTCCTCACCAGTTCTTGGGAGAGATCAATAATCTATCTTCCCTATTCATACACTTCATACCAGGGCAGCCAAAAAAAAGAGTTACTGTGCTCTGAATTCCCAAAGTTCAGCCTAATGTTATAGCTTCTCTTCTTGTAGTGTTTAGCCAGATTAACTAACTACTTGTTGTTAGGATATAATGCCTGGATGGGATGGGATGATGTCTCTTTAAAACTGAGCTTATCATTGGCTACATGTCTGCAAGGAAATGCTTGAGGAGTTAAGCAGTTTTGGGTTTTGTCTTTGCCTTTAATAATTTTCAAGTCCAGGTGGACTTCATTTGTAGAATCTGCAGCACTGTAGTGCTGGTAGATCTTTCCAGCCAAGAGAGTATTTTAGTTTGGTGTATGCTTTCTGTATCATTGTGCAAGTGTTAGTTACATATGCAGCCAAGCTGATACAAGTTTAAACTTTGAATTTCCCCAAAACTACTGTGAATGTAATCCTGGTTGTTTGCCAGAACTGCTCTTGCAAAGATAAAAATGGTGCTGCTGATTATGTTGTTAGAGATCCATGCAAAGTAGAAGAAACTATTTGTAGAGAGACTTTTAAAAAATACATATTTTTCTTTAGGAAATGTCAGGCTTACAATTCAATAATTATGTGCATATGACCTAACTAAAAGCTTTCTCTTTGTTGAAGATCCAGGTCCAGAAGACACTCGCACAGACGTTACACTCGTTCCAGATCCCATTCCCATTCTCATTCCCATAGGAGACGTTCTCGAAGCAGATCGTACACGCCAGAATACCGTCGTCGAAGGAGCCGTAGTCATTCTCCAATGTCAAACAGGAGAAGGCACACTGGCAGCAGAGTATGTCATGCTTATCAAGGCTGAGTACCAGCAAACCAGTTGCTGCTCACAGCAGTGTAGTCCATGTTACCTGCAGGCTGAATCTGACTTGCTGTCTTGTCACTGGAGGATATATGGGAATTTGGGGTTGGGGAGCAATCTCTGCCCTTACAGCTGGGTCCTTTTTTCTTGGGCCTGCCACTGACAGGGCAGTTGTAGAAAGAAATTACTTGAAAACCATGCTGTTGCATGTCAGTGTGTGCAGAGAGGCTGACATCAGTTTTTGTCAGCTCTAGAAATTGAAGCCTTCTGATTACTTCTTTGTTATAGTTCCAAGTATATCTACCCTTCACAAAAACGAGGCATTTTCTGTGCATGTTTGCAACCTGACAGTATTGATAAGATTGACTAGAGGAGCCAAAGTAGTAAATTTTCAAGTGTTTTATTTGCTTATACAGCATATTATGTTGAAGGTTGTTTGTGACTTTATACCTCTGAGTATAAATTTGCTTTAACTTGAAGAAATAAGCCTATGTGTTATTAGCTAATGTGTAAGTCTTAACAGACCAGAAAAATTTACAGTTATGAAAAGGATCAGTCAGCCTCTCAAAATGTAAATGAGAAATATGAACAGGAGGAAGTAGATGTACACCAGCCATTACCACCAGCAATTAAGCACCATGCAGCTGCTGGTTCACTTCTCCACCCTTCCCGTGGGATGGGGAGGAGAATCAGGAAAAAACCCACCAACTTGTGGGTTGAGATAAGAACAGGTTTAATAACTAAAATATAATAATAGTAAAGGAATATAACAGAGTGAAATACAACCCAAGAAAAGACAAGTGATGCACAATGTGGTTGCTCACCACCCACTGACTGATGTCGGAGCAGTGGTCCGCCCCTCCCTGACAACTCCCCCCAGTTTATATACTGAACATGACATCCTGTGGTATGGAACATCCCTTGGCCTGGTTCAGGACAGCTGGCCTGGCTGTGCTCCCTCTGTTTCTTGTGCACTTGCTTGCTGATGGAGCATGGGAGACTGAAAAATCCTTAACTTTAGATAAGCACTACTAAGCAACAACTAAAACATTAGTGTGTAATCAACGTTATTCCCACACTGGATCCAGAATGCAGCACTGTACCAGCTACTAGGAAGAAAACTAACTCTATCCCAGCTGAAACCAGGGCACTTTTATAATCTGTTTCAGTGCTTTAACTTCTGGTTCCACATGACTTCAGTCTGCCTCTTCCTTGGTGAGGGTCATTACATTTTTTCCAGTCCTTTCAGTTTTAGTTTGGTTTAGTTTCTCTGAATTTTTTACTAATCGTGTCAAAAAGAGTATAGTTTTTTTGCAGGCTTACCTTGGTGAAGCAGCTCACTAGGACTAGGTAATACCAATGTGGGGGAGAAGACAAGAGTGTGTGGAAAAGGGCGAGACCTACAGCAGTGCTAGTGTACAGTGGCTTAAGCTGTTGTGAAGCAACATGCATAGTTACTTTGTGGATTGTTGCCAGTGTGTAATCATGATGTAGTAAATACGCATCTAGTGTCTTGAAGAGTTGGTAGGAATAACTGAACTTCAAAAGGGTTAGCAGACTTCCTGGTGAAAGATGAATGAATCCACTTTAATACTTGAGAAAATACTAGAATATTTTTGCTCTGTGAAGAATTTTTTTTGCCTTGGAAATTACTCTATAAAACACAAAACTTGTTTTCACAGTGAATTTCACATTAATTCTAAGGAGTATTTCTAGTAGTGTCAAAATGAAATTCAAATCAACCAGGAAAATTGGTAGCAATTTTGCTACTTCTGACCTTGTAGAGAGAGCTTGCATACTGTGCTGATGAGAGGCAGTACAAAGACCCAATATAAAAGCTGGGTTTTAGTCCTCCAGTGGTGATCTACTTGGCACTTAAGGTGCAGAGACTGATTCTCAGTACTATTTTACCTCAGAAAAGGTAATAGGGTTTAAGGGTAAGGGGATGTGAAAAAAGGACAATACTGAGAGGTATTGTGTGGAGGGACTTGTCCAAACAATGATTCAAAAGACTTGAGACATTTCATTAGACCCACCAGAGTTTCAGCAATAAGAGTATAGCTGTTAATGCACTGAATTATCAGAAAGACTGAAATATGAAGTAAAAAAGAAACCTAAACCTGTATAATTAAAACTTCTAAATGACACTGCCAGTTACTAGTTTCTGCTCTGCTCTTCAGATGTAATAAGGAACTGTAGAAGATTCATGTCTTAAAGATCAAACTTCTATTTTAACAAAATGAAAGAAGCTTCAAATATCTAAGTAGTTTGACCATCTTATTTTCACAATGGGTTCCTGAACATAAGCTCTGAAAAGAACATGACAAAAGATCTGAACCTGTTCATTCTTTGAACAGCTCTGAGGCATAAATTACTGTGCATCAGCGATTTTGATGAAACTGAAACACAAATTTTGACTGTGTCAACTTCCAGTTACTATTTTAGCAGAAACATGAAATCTCTATGCCTGTTGCTGCCATTTTAAATTGCTGCATCTAGTATAACAGATGGCAGAAGCTTAGGTGAAAAAATGTTAATTTTGATCAAAATAATTCTTACAGTGGAGTCGGCATTAGATGAACTCTGGCATGTAGAGAAACTTTGAACCTAAAAGAGAAGTTGTGCGTTGTACAATTTCATATTTAACTTCCTTTAGTTGAAGTAAATATATTAAGTAGATCTGTATCTTGTATCACATTAAAGAATCAAGAGTCTTGCTCCATAAAAGCATGTATGCTTTTGGATTACAGTTTCACAGAACTGGCCTTCAGCACTTGATACTATCTAGATGAAAACAAGCGGTGATTTTCATCCAGTTTACAAGTGGAAAGATACAAACTTTCAAGGAGCTCAAATGCATTTAGTGTGTGCAGCTGGAGACAGTGTGCACTCTTGAGTGCCAGTGGGGACCATGCAGGAAGGCTGAAGGTGGGAGTTCCGGCTGGCAGACCTGTTCTTAGCGCAGGCTTGTCATGTCTGCAGCTTGCTGGTGATTTGAGTGTCAAATATTAATAAAATAGGTACCTGTTACTCTGTGGCTTTTCTGTAATCAGTATGTTTAATTTTTATCAATGTGAATTTTTCACCAACATGAGTAGTTAGTTCATCTTTGTATTTTTTCTTAAATAAAAATCATGACAGCCACTTTTTGAAAAGATATTAAAATTGGAATGGTAACTGTTGAAGTGTTAAGCTTTTAAATAAGGTATGTTTAGTTCGTATTAAAAATTGTTAATAATTGAGAAATTTTGATATGAGAATGTGTAGCTTGCTTTTTATAAACTTAATTGGAGTTGAATGTTTGTCTTACCAGGCTAATCCAGATCCTAATACATGTCTTGGAGTGTTTGGTCTCAGTTTGTATACTACTGAGAGAGATTTGCGTGAGGTCTTCTCCCGTTATGGACCCTTGACTGGTGTCAATGTGGTTTATGATCAACGGACTGGACGATCAAGAGGATTTGCATTTGTTTATTTTGAGCGAATTGATGATTCTAAAGAGGTAAATTTATGCTTTACTACTACTTAACAGGTGTGCTTTTTATGCATTGTCTTCATGAATATATCTGTTAAAAAAAAAAAAACACCCCATGTTTTTGAGAGTATATTCACTGGCAGGCTCTCACAGTGAAATTAAAATATTTTGTTCAGACAACATGACATGTCTAAACAGATGAAGCATTTTAGTTCAGTGTTCAGAGGTTTGGGCAAATTTTGAGCATGAGCTCTCTGTATTGAATCATTAATGAGTATTGTGCTTTGATTTTAGTCTGTTCCTTCAAAATGAAAGTAAATCTTCAGACAGGTGTAGAAGCTAGTGATTCTGAAATATTTTGGAAATGAACTTTTCAGAGTAGTTATCTATATCTAAATTCTGCAGATTATCTTTGCTTACCATTTTCTTCTCTAAAAGCATGTCATGCATTTGAAAAACTGGGGTTTGTCTTGTGCCTTGGTCAGTAGCTTTGCTTGTTACATGAATAGCTGTTTACAGGCTGGACTGAGTTGTTTGTTTGTGTGTGTGTGTGTGTGTATATATATATGTATGTATGTGTATGTATATATGAACAGCAGCCTGTATGGTTCACCACATTAAGCAGTACTTTTTTTAAAACTGTGTAAGGATACTGTTAGCTTTACTACATTTACTGACATCTAGATAAAATTGCTCTTAAAGGTAAAGACATCCTTTTTTAGGAAAAAAAAAGAGTGTTCTTTCTTTAAGCCTTCACTGTGAGATTATCTCTTTGGGGTAAACTGAGTCACAGACTTCAAGTATCTTGTTCACAGATTAATAGTCTTGGGCAGGTGAGGTATGCAATTTGTTTGATAAGTATATTCATATGCTTGGATATAATCATCTCAGCATTGAAGGGAGGGTGACAGCTGTAGAACCTACTATCAGTAGCTGAAAGATGGAAACTGATGACACTTGATTTTAATTTTTAAAAAAACCCAAACAACCAACCAAAAAACCCCTCTTTTGTGGATGATTGAACTAGATTTGCTTCTATCTTGGACTCATTTCTGGTGTGATCTGAGAAAGTCAGTTTATGGGAAGAGTTAAGTTTGTAGATGTGTATATGTGTGGTTGTTGCAGGTTATGGGAGTAAGTAAAAAGATACAAAATTTCCTTTAGTGTCCCCTTCTGTATTTTTCCACTATCACTTAAGTTGAGAAATAAGTTAATGGGGTGGATAGCTGTATATCCATCTTATTTGGCCTGCTCTCTTCTAACTTTAATTCTGAATTTAGTGGATTTTGAAAATGCATCCGTTTTGTAGAACATTTAATATCCAAAATACTTGCATACTGCTTCTTGTCACATTCATATGCTAGCCTTGTCTGTTTTATAACTTCATATATCCTTAGAAGTAGGGTTTTTTACTAGTTGCCATGGGCAATAGTCATGCATGATGCCATACCTTTCTTAAAATGTTCCGTGTAAATAGCATGAAGTAATTTGTTCAGTATAAAGCTGTTTTGACTAATACTACAAAGGTGGAATGCAAAGAAGAAGAAAATGGGATATTGCTTAGTCATAAATAAATACAGAACACCTTAAGCAGAAACTGAAATAACTAGGAATGTAAACAAACGCTTTTTTTTTTTTCTCCCCAGTGGGCTAGTGTATGAAGAGGGGGAAAGAATGCAACATCTCCCAACACTTGGAATTTACATAACTGAAATACTTTGTCATAAAGGACAGGAGAAACTTGTTAATTTGACTTATTTCATGGGCCTTGAGGGCAGATTTGAAAATGGCAACAAATAGTGGCTTGTCTAGAAAAAGGGTGTGTAGCATAGTGTGAAACTGGTAGACCCTGTCAGAGAACACTGAAGGAGATGAAGTAATTCTCTGTGTGGAAGATAGATCGCATCTGAGAAGTTGAGTATACCTAACAGCAGTGACACTTGAAATTTTTGTTCTGAGTAAATACCTTTCCTCTTAAAGCCCCAACTAAAAACCCCAAAGCTCCAACACCCTAAGCATCCAAGTAAAGAGAATATAAAACTCTAGGTGAGATGTTGACCTAAATTCCAGCCCTTTTAAAGTACTTGTAGATGAATTAAATAACTGTAGAACTCTGCAGGAAAACAGGTTTCCCATCATCTTCACTATTGTCCTTCTAAGAGAGGTAACACAGGGAAGCCTCTCAGCTGACATGCTCTCAAACAATGTGAATATTAAAACTTGACACTAAATGACTTGTGAGTAGTTGTGTTTAAGCTTTCATAAATTGGGTTAAGATTGGTCAGTATCAATATTATGTGGGTTCTGTTGCAGCTGAAATTCCTCAGGATCTTCGTCAGCACCAGTTACCATTCTTAAAAATTGGGTCAGTTTTTGAGCTAGTTAGTGTTGCTATGTGTCAAGATTCTGAAACTGAGCAATGCAGTGTTTCTAGTTCCATATGGTGGTAAAGACATCTTGAACTATCAACTAACTTGATGTTGTGGAAGTCCATAGACAATGTAAAATAGCATTTCTTAAAGGTGATACTTTACAGTGTGTCCTAAAAATATCAACAGGGCATCAGTAGATTTTATTTTTTCTTATGGTCTTCTGGCCTTTCAGAACTTCAGATTGATTATGACACCATAGAACCCTTGTCATTAGGTGTTTATGATCATTTTGGTTATAAAGAAGAACAGAGATCTAGCTTTTGATAACTACTAGGTAGAGCAGCTGTCAGCATCACAGTAGCTTCAGTCATTCCACCTTAACAGGACTGGAAAAGAACTGTTGGATTCATGTATCCATTCTAGAGGAGATTTCTTACAGAATCTCTTCTCTGAAACTCCACTGAGATTGAGATGAAATTTTGTGGTCTGACAGAAGGTTCCTTTTCCATCAGATGTCTTTTATTGCAATGATCTAGTGTTTGTAAGGTAGCATGTGACTAGATTGTTACATTCTGACCTATATTGAAGATGCTTGCAGACACTGTCTTTAGTTGGAGACATGATAGTAAGCAATAAATGTTGAGGACTGATGGTTGGTTGTCCAGAAAACCTGAGATTTTGCTGTGCTAATCTTCTTTTTGGTGTGCTTGTTCAAGGCCTATTTGTAAAGCTTATGTTATTTACCTTTTTCTAGAAGAAGGGATATTCTCACTGGTGTAGTGGTTTTCATTTTTTGTGCAGTTATGTTTTCTTAATACCAAATATTACTCAGAAAAGTGGTTTTTTGTTTTACTTTTTTGTCTTGTGTGGCAGTGTCTTATGTTGGCCATTCTGTTAAGTCTTCAGAGCCACATGTGCAACATTAGGCAAAGGGCAAGAACTGTGAAGCTCTGCTGAAGACATGTTTCTCAAAATTGGCATTGTTTCTTATATAGTTCTTAGTATTGGTAACTCTGGCACTGAGCCAGTGTTGTAATATTGCAATTTTGCAATATTCTTGCTAAATTATAGAGGATATTCACCTGCCCATCACATTAGGATTTTCCTGTTTGGAGGAACACAAAATTTCATGTACTAGGATGAGGGGAAAAAGAAAGTGGAGGGGGGGTTGATTTCAGGGTTAACAATAAATTGAGAGGATTATGAGTAAAAAGTACTGGCTGTTCTAGGGACGATTCTTACTACAGTTACCAGGGATTTCATATACCACTATCCAGCTTTTCAGTAACTCAGAATATGAAGTATTAGTTGTTTAAACCGAGGCTACTCTGAATATATTGTGTCTGTAGCAGGAACTCATTTGAGATTAGCTACAGCAGCAGTTGGCAATACAGAATTTTCCATTTTCTAATGCTAGTTATATGCTCTTTACAGTTCTGACCATCTTTCAGAAAAGTTTTCTGAAGTAGTGTTCATTAGCAATCAAGACAAACTTTATATAAACTGAACTATTAACGTAATTCACTTGCCAAAGACTGGAATAATAACAGGATTTATAATTTTAATTTGCAAGACATTTATTCTGTGGTGCAAGCAGACCAGTTTAGAAGCATTATTATTGACCAAAGCTTCTCCCATAGCTTGTTGAAGAAGTGCTTTAACCATTGCTTGTGGTATCAGAAGGCATCCTTGATATACCAGAAAAGAACACAAGAAGGTCTCAGATGCTTGGAATTAAAAGTTACAGACTTCTGGAGACTGAAATACCATGAAATTCTAATTCTTGCAGAAACATACCCAGTTACTCATTCTGGTTCTTTAAAATCCTGTATTTCTCAACTCTGAAACTCCTTTAAAGTATGCTTTTAATCCTTTAATGCCTTTAAAGTATCCATTTAATCAATAGATGTTTAAGATGATAAAATTATATATTAAAAAATAAAATTGACAGTATTCTAATTTTTTAAAAACAAAACCTCTGACTGAGTATAAATTGACACTTGTTCAAAGGTGAAATGGACACTTGAATTCAACTTGGCGGACTGCAGTAAGTGCTAAAAGCGGGGTTTCTTAATTTTTCTTTTTCATCCCCTCCTTTTTTGTTTTTTCAGAATGTCCTTTCAGATGTCCTTGTAAAATCCAGACCTGAACTAGTGATACCAGTGTAGTGGGGGAGAAAAACAAATCTATTATGTCTGTTCTGTACCTGTGATACACAGCGGAGATGATGTTTTCATGGTGTTAAGGTAGAAATCAAACACTAAGGTTTTCATGGTGTTTCAGGTAAAAAACAAACAAACATCTAAAAAATGCAGTGAGCAAAAAAAGACAGTGTCTTACATAGTTCTTTTGAAATCATGAAATAAGTTTTCAAAATGAGTCCCAACATAAATTGCTTGTGTGTGACTATTCAAGTGTATTCAGTTTGCATGTCATTTAACTTTGTAGTGATGTCACATTACTAAAATAATTCAAAGAAGTTAGACACAGTTGTAACAAAGGCTTGATGATCTCTTGTATAATACAAATGGTATCTTGAACTCTGTAGCATAATTGTAAAGTGACTGTGATGTCAGCTCTGCCAAGTCAAGTTCTCTCCCTCCTTTCTCCCTGCTTCCTCGCCGCACCCTTCTCTCAGTGACCACAGCACAGGTTGCAGAAATTTCCCACATTGTTTCTTTGTCCAAGCTGTTCTTTGTGGCATCATCCAGACTGAAAGAATAATTATTCTCAATGAATTCTTGATTGCTTAACTAATACCAGTCACCTGTGTAAGTTTGTGTATATAAATAAAAGTTTGGTGTTTCCAGACTTGTTTGACTAAATGCTAATACATGTAGAAAACACCACATACTGTAATAAATACCAAATGAAGTTGAGATCTCTTAAATTTAATGCTTTCTTTCAAACCGTTTTGAGCCACTGGATGCTGTCATCCTGTAGTTTGGGAACTGGTCATTTTGTCAAAGTAACACCTTACAGATAGTAATTTGAAGGATGTTTGTTGTTATGGATAGACTGCTGTAGGTTTAAAGCTACAATGCAAGATGGAATCATTATCTGTGGCATTCCCAATCCTCATTCTCTGTTTTCTGACTGCAAATGTACAGATGTGTCTTCTGGCCTACAGTCATTTTTTCCTTAGAACTTGCCAAAACTAGTAGTACATGTTATTAGGAGTCTTGTTTGCTTGCTTGCTTACTACCGTGTTGTAAAAGCCATGCAAGTCTTATTTGGAATAAAATCCAGAAATAAAAATGGACTGTTGTCAGTTAAAGGCTCCTAAGAGGGTATTGTGTGTCTTAAACCCCATATAATTTGATTTTTCTCGTCAAAATGTTTCATTTGATGGTCTGGAAGATACACTTCTATCTCTTAAACAGTATTTGATAATGTTCTGCATTGTTAGAGTGAATGTGCAATTTTTTTCCCTTTGACATTTGAATGGTCTTAAGACAGAATTCATACATACCCAAAACTAGCAAGAAATGCAAACTGAAATGTGGTTTGAGTATGACATGCTAGCCAGTCTAATAAAATGGTAAAATCCAAAATTTGATTATAAACTATTTTAACTTGGAAGACACAAAAATGTCAGTAATTAGAATCACAAATATGTTTTTACGGCCTTTGTACAAAATAAATACTGTTGTTTCATTTGTCTGAAACCAGATTTTCAAATAGGGGTTTTGGTCATATTGAAGCAGTTATCTAATAATGTCAACTTAAGTACTTTGTTTCAAAGACTTGACATGCACATTAAGAATGATGCAGAGATTTTGAAAACAACTTTGGGAGGAATTTCCAGTTGCTAATGACTGAATATGAGTGATACAGACTAGCAGTTATTGTTGGGGTCATAACAGCTTATTGTAGATTTTGACTTTTCTGCCTTCAGGGGATGTAGTCAGAACAGTAAAAGGCTTTATTATGTTTGTATATCTATTAAAGATTTTTATTATTTTAAGTTTTTTAGTTGGCAGTTATTGTTAACAGCTGTTGAAAGCTAAGAAAATTTAAGTTTTCATATTGCGTAGGTTACTAGACAGTGTGACCAAGGTTAATGCAGACAGGTAACTATGAAATAATCTCCATCCACTGAAATGTAACACATTTCTTGGTACTTCCAAAACAATCAAGTCTCAAAATTAACTCTTCATCTGTCTTGCTGGTATGTTGCTCTTCTCTATGCTGCTCCCTGTGTCAAAGCACTCTTCCCCTTAAAGACGTGTTTGTTCTTCTAAGACACATGTGCCAGATGTTCTGGGTTTGAAATGGTTTCTTGTCATCTAAGCTTATTACTCTGCAAGTTGTTGTTTGGAAATAAAAATGCCATGAAGCAGAAAATTCCTTACCTTTCAAGATAATTTGCGTTTCCAGAAGGTTGCTTTTAGTCATGAAGCTAATTTTTCAGCCATCTATTTGCAGCCTTGTTTTTAGGTTCGTGTACATTTTAGGCTATGCACATTCCTAGGATGTGTGCACAGATTTATTTTTTAGATCATCCTTGTGGAACAGTATTTAAAAAAAAAAAAAAGTATCAAGGCTGGGAAACCAAAGATAAGGATCTTGTTTTAGTCACAAAACTTACTTTAGTATATGTTGAAAGACTTCAAATGCTCTTTGGCTCTGCCTTGCAGTCAGATAAATGCTATATTTTTGTATGGGAACAGAGCTCACTAGGTGGCGATATAGTATAGATATAAACAGCATTATTAAAACACAACCTAAGTGTAGTTAAATGGGTTAGCTATGATTCAGTCACTTCCAGTTTGGGGACATCACAGTTAAAATCATGTGGGTGTCAAGTTTTTGTTTCCTCTTCTATAACTTGTATGTTAATTCAGTAAGGTTCTTGTTACAGAGCTGCGAAAAGTTGTATTTCTGGATAGTTGTTTGATTCATTATTTTTAAAAAAAAAAAAAAAAAGCTTTGTTTAAAGGCACCTTTATGTTTTAAGGTTGTGTATTATTTCTCACAGTTAAATAATACCAAAGTGGTTTGTGTTCTTTAACTCAAGATTGCAACAATGTCCATTCTCTACACATGAAAAATAAAAATAATATATAGTGGGCTAAGTGCTGTGCTTAGTGTCATGAATTAAGTGATGTGTAGAGTATTTCAGAGATCCTAGAGCAACTGATGAAAGTATTATAAAAAAAAAAAAGCAGCATTGCAAATTTTAATAGCTTTTAAATCCAGCATTAACTGTTTGTTAAATTCTTTATGGTTGTGGGATTGGGTTTTGGGTTTGCTTGGGGGTTTTTTAAGTTAATGTTGCATGAATATAATTCTTAGGAGTACAGTGTGCTCCTTTTGAAAAACTATTTTCCTGATTTTGAGTTTGTGAAAGGCCATTGTATTGATTCTCAAAGACTAGACAAGCAGGGGCTAGAACACCCAGCGAGAGTGTGCACGGCTGCAAGCGGGTCTGAAGGCACAGGCTTCTCAAAGCGCAGACCCTTATGTGTATCGCTGTAGCTGAGCTGCTATTGTGAGAGTGAGTGGGGAGGAAGGTTGTAATTAGGTATCCATGTAGGCTGAACCCGCCATTTTACTAAGCTCTGCTGGAGTAGGTCCTTGTAAGGGAGATGGCAGGAGGCTGGGAGAGCACGAAATGGCAGCCGACTAGCAGTAATCCGGCCATATGCACCCTACAGGAAGCCACTGTTTTGCACAGCTTTTGAATCCGCCCGTCCCCTCTGGGTCAGACGGCAGTGGGAAAGATGCAGTTTTAAGAAAAAGCTGTTTTGACTTTCAGTTTACTTTTCTTATGGGTGGAAGACAAAGTCTAGGGAGAGTGACTATGTTAGTGGTTAGCACCGTGCTCTCTTACGAAGGGACTGCATGTCACGTTACTCCAGCACCCCAGTGCAGCCCTGTAACAGTGCCGGCAAACGGGCCAGGGGACAGAGATGAGCCATTCGCCACAGTGGGGCACTAGTAACCAGTCTAAATAAAACAAGTTCAGGGCTTGTTTTTTCTGATGGAAAATAAAGTATTCTTTGCATAGCCTTCCATAGGTACCAGTAGGTTGCAGGTTTGACATCCCTGTTCCTTGTCTCTCCTGCAGGCAATGGAGCATGCAAACGGTATGGAGCTGGATGGCAGGAGGATTCGGGTGGATTACTCAATCACCAAGAGAGCACATACACCCACCCCAGGCATCTACATGGGCAGGCCAACACAGTAAGGAGTTCACTCATTTCCTGTAATGGGACTAGAATGGATTTAAACTGAATGCTTGGAGTCTGATGGAAGAAATAAAGCTACAGATGCTTTTTTTTAAACTTGAGTTACACCAATTGTATTTTATCACAGTAATATAAAGAACGTGTTACTGTGACCCACGTATACTATTAAATCCTACTGTAGTTTATTGCATCTTTCTAAAAAAATACTGAAGGAGGAGTTTTAAAAAAAATACATATCCAACATGGTCAGTTAATGTACCCTTAGCTTACTGAAATGCTAAGGTGCCCATTTGCCTTTGATTTTGATGCAAATTAGGCTCAAATCCCTCCTGGGTTTTCTGGGGTTTTTTTTGAAGGTGTTTTTCTTTTAAATGTTTCATTGTTAGATTGTTTCATGGCATAGTCTTAAGTGTCTGATTTACAAGAACACTTAAAAAAAGCTTTTAAGTAATTTAAATCAAGATGAAGAGTAGGTATCTAAAGTAGGTTGGTTTTTTTTTTGCTTTCCCCCTAATAGCAGTGGAGGAGGTGGTGGCGGTGGAGCAGGTCGTCGCCGTGACTCATATTATGATAGAGGGTATGACAGAGGATATGACAGATATGAAGAATATGACTACAGATACAGGTACCTAATTTTTATCTTATTTCTGTAGGAACGGTGGATTTATTGGAAAAACTGAAAAGTTAGGTGACAAAAAAGGTTACTCAGCAAAGAATATCAGTTTACATGCTTGCTGTGTCTTAGAACCTTATTACTTTAAGTTTGGTGGGATTAAAGTCATAATCATCAGTGTTTATGTAATTTGGTTATCCAGAAACAGTTGGGCAAGGGGTTAATTTTGCTACCTGAAGGAGGTAAAAGCATGTGTCCTACGGATCTAGTGGACAGATAGAAGGGAGCTCATTTTTCCATGCTGTATATAGAACCAGGGACAGCTGATACAGTGCTGTTTAAAAAGGGGTTATTTGTAGATGGGATGTTTAATGCTTGACATTTCATAACCATCTCAGCGTTTTGAAAGTTATCTCGTTTCAGAGAATGTTCAACAAGAATTGTAGGCATCTGGGAAAGCACTTCATGTGTTTGCAAGGCTAGTGGAAGTTTATGAAATTCTTTGTCTGGGAATATCTTACACTTTTAAACACATCAAATAGAGAAATATAAAAGCATTTGTTAAATAACTGTAAGCCACAGCCAAATAAAGCTGAAATCATTCATGCAGGCCAAGTCTTTCAGAGCTAAGGAAATGGTTCTGTTCTGTAGAAGTGATGTGAATAAGGCTTCTTTCATAATGGATGTTGTTGGGTTTCTCTTTTAATTTCCTTTAAAGGAGACGATCACCATCGCCTTATTATAGTCGATACCGATCACGATCAAGATCCCGGTCCTATAGTCCAAGTAAGTAAATACAAGTGAATAAATAGAATCTGGCTGGCTTAAACCTTGTTGTTACTAGTATTAATCAATCAATGGAAATTCTGAATGTGAAAGCAAAATGTTGGGCATATTAAAGCTGAGATGATATGTGTACAGTTAGTTTATAGTAATTGTGCCTTTTTTTTTTTTTTCCCCAGGGCGCTACTGAAGAGGGGGGAAGAGTTACAGTTGAGGACGCGATTTTTAAATACAAAGTTCAGACCTTAGCTTCCATACTGCTCTCCCTCCCATCCTCCCTCCCTTGTCCTCCATCCAGGTTGTCTACAAATCTTTGGTTCATTTAGAATATACATATTTTCAGTTGAAGTATTCCTGTTTTTCATCCCTTCTTATTGTAATACTCTTAAATATTGTAATTGTTGTAGTTTTTGTGTAGTAAAACATCTTAAGCAAAATGAAATGGAGAACCCAAAGTGCTGATACATTTTGGATGTCATTCCTATTTTGTTTTTAAGACAATTGGACTCCTGACTAATCAGAAGAAAGCATTGATATTTTTAAAGCTTGCATGTCATATGTAGTATACACTCAGATACTTTAATATAAACCTGCATTTCCAAGTAACTCGTTAATCTTTCTGTTAAAATGTTTACCTGTTACTTTGATAAACAAGTAATGACTTTGAGCCTTTTCTGTAATGACAAATTTACTTAGATAGTCATGAACCAGAGGGTTGGGTTGATTGTTTTATGTTTTTTGGTTGGTTTTTTTTTGTCAAGTAGCTGCTTTGAGTGTAGACTATTTGAGCTAGAGCAGAATTTGGTATTTGACTGGGAGAACAGATCCTTGTACACTCAAAGTTAAGGCTGTGTTTTATAGATAAAAGTTTCTGGATTGCTACACAGTGGATAACATTTGAAGTTAAAACTGTAAAAATCCTGGGGTTTTTTATTGTACTTCGAATATTTCCCCTTAATCCGTGCAAGAGAAAAAGTATTTATTGAACATAGCAATTAGTCACATAATTTGCTGTTAATTTAACACACACACACAAAAAAAAACCCAAACAACAAAACCTGCCAACTTTTTGGTATTACAATAATTATTAAGCAAGTTTTGTTTCCAGTTGTTTTTGGAGTTTTGAAAGTATGGATGGAAAAAACTACAACTACATGTAAACTTTTTTTCCCCTCAATAAAAGTTAATTCCACTGAGATATTGAGTTCTTGTCTTTTGTTCTTCATTTTGTGTCACCCTGGAATACAGGTTAAACAAGACTTGATATTGTGGCATGGCTAATAAAGTCAGCATTTATCTGTCTTCTGGAGCCGTGTCTTCCCTGAGAATCAGCATGTGGTTCTGTGGGATGGCTAAGCAGAGCGGGTAGTCCAGCTTTCTCTTTTGCCATCTTTGGCACTTGCTGGAGTCATGGTGAGATGGTTTAAGGGAAGAAACACTGTTGACTTTGTTTAGATTTCTGGCAAGTTTTGCCCTCTGAAATAATTTGCCATGCGGCTGGTTGAACATCAATGTTGGCACAACAAAAGTAATAGGACTACAAAGCCCTCGCAGCAAAATTATTTAATCCTGATTGTCAGGGAATGCCACCAGAAGAGTGTGTCGTCATTTTAGGAGGGTGAGTGTATGAAATGTAGTTTTAACTGTTTCTGAATGTCAGTGCCAGGATCTATTAACAGGTAATCAAAAGAAAAGCTAACACACATCCAACTATTTTAAAAGCTTGTCACCAATTTCTCCTGGTACATTGTAACGAGTTCTAATTTACTGGTTATTGCTCAGTACTTTTTATCCATTATGTTTTACCCGTAAATTGCAGTTGAAAATAAAATGAAAAAGAATCTGGAACACTGAAGTAACATTCCAACTCAGATTTTTATTGGTGTTTGTTGGTGATCCAGACAAACGTCCTCTGTAAACCAAAGTCCAGAATCTCAACATGGAGAACTGTTGTCATTTTTAATTTTGGTTTTGTTTTTTCAAAATTAAGGAGAGTAGTGTGCAGAAATAGGCAGCTGGGGAAGCTGCTGCAGGGCTGGTTGGGGGAGCATTTAGGCTCAGGAAGCGAGAGAAGTGGTTATTTCTTGCCAGGGTATGGTATTTGTGGCCTGTAATCATCAAGGGTTCAAAGGTGTATTAGCTAGGGAACAGATCAACAGATCAGTTGCTTGGAAGCTAAAGCAAGAAAGGAGTGTCTCAGTCCTTAGCTTGAAAATTGTTTCTTCCAACAGCTACACCTAAACATGTCAATCTTATTTGTCACAAGTCCATATAACTTTGTAAGTGGCAACAGCATTGTATTACCTGGTGTGTTCTGTGCTTCATGTTGACTGGCGAGATACGGTCCATTTGAACAGCTGAAAATGGTAATTCTTACTGTATTGGACATACTTGTATGTAATGTACGAATAGTTGTTAGACTTAAATGACCATTTGTAAAACTTAAGCAATCCTGAAATGGGAAAGGTAACTTGTAGCTGTTTCCTCATTCATGCAGGTTTTGGGGGGGTTGTTTTGGTTTGGGTGTTTTTTTTAACTGAGATCAGTTGGGCAGAGATCTTGGTGTTAGCCATTTTCTGTAACTTGTGTGGCTTGTATCTTCCCGAGGATGGGAGCCTCCTCTCTGCTTCATTGTGAATGGATTTAGGAACACCATTTAGATAATCTTCTGATTCTGTTTATGAAATAAAACAGCCCAGGTAACCCATATGCTGTGTCTGAACACAGCTAGTTAAACAGATACAAACATTCTCTAATCATTTTTATATTTTCTTTAGTTCTAGATAAGGAAAGCATAGTCATCTCTGATCATACACTAAAGTTTTGCAACAAAGTGAAAAAGTCAATTTAAGTAACAAAATCTAGTGTTACTTTGTGCTAGTATATGAGGTTAAGTTTGCAACTGAATTGCAGGCAATATTTAAAGACTGACTTTAGACAAACGTGACCATTCATCTAGGTTTTTCTATAGCCTGAATTCTAGGCTTAGGATGTAGAATGCAAGGTAATACTTGCTCTTAAACATACTGTGTTCCCAAATGCTTCAAAGAAGTGGCCGCAAGAAATTCACAACAGCTGCCAGACAGGCTAGCGGCAGGCTGTGTGATGGAAAATGTGCACCCCATGACAACAGTTGGAGACATACTGATTTATGTGTTGGGTCAAAATAGCTTCTGAGAATGAGTGTGTGTGTATAAAGATGATGTGCATAGGGTGAAGTTTATTAAGGCTATCATTTTGTCATTTGTCCTGTATAACTGTACTTCAAAGCTGTAGCGACATTCAGCCTTCAGTCTTGTGGTACTGACCAAAGCGTTTGACTGTGTTGCGGTGTGACCCAGCCAGCTGAGAAATGCCTTTTGGAAAAGCACCTTCTGTTGCATGGCTTCACCGAGGGAGAACAGGTGTGCTTACACCACTGCTGCCCCTTACTAGCAGTCGGCTCTCTTTAGCTGCTTCAGTCCTCTAGAACTAATGAGAATTCTCTGGACCAGAGAAGGAAGACGATCTGTGATAAACATTTTCTATTGCTTCCTGCAGAAGTAACTTATTTGGTTGGGCAAATGGTGTGAACAAATTCTCATGTGCAGTCAGCACCCTTGTCTTTTAAACAGCAGTGTAAAGGAGAACATGAAATGCAGACTCTAGCCACACCATCTGCAGTACCTGTAGACCTTATTTCTTGCATTCTGCATAAAATGTTTCAGGTAGGACTGCCCCTGCCTACAAAGAGCTAAGCACTGTTAGGTTCAGCAGAGGGATGTTTTCCTGTATCTTCTACAGAGCTGTAAATGCAACACTTGATAAAGTTTAGGTAAAAAGCAGATTTTCCCTTAGGTCAGTAGTATGTCCAGACAGTGCTAGAAATACCATTATCACACTGCCTCAGTTTGGGTTGAACTTGTTAGTAAACTGGAATGCATAAGCCTTAATACTTCTACTGCTTTAGATACACAAGATGAGACATTAATTTAAAAACCAGGCAGTTACACTTGCCTAAAAAAGGCTATGAGCCAACTCAGTGGGTCTTGTTGAATTCCATGAGGAAGTGAGAGACCACCTTACACAGGATGATTTCTTAACTTTTGTGGTCGCAACTGATGGTTACATCATTGGTACCTAATAGCAGATACCTCTCACATGCAAATTCACAAATGTATTTGTCAAAACACTAGAGAAGATCTTTGTTAACAAAGATCTGCAAAAGTTTGTTTAAATCAGTTCTTGAAGAACAAGCAGCTATAGTGAAAATAAGTTTCCCACTGTGAAAAAGTCTAGCAATGCTTCTAAGTTTAAAAATCAGTTATTTCTATGTTGTTTCCCCTTTAAAAAAAATAAAAAAATAAAAAAAATTGGTGGAGCTTTCCAGCTGTGAAGATGTCATACATTAGGGAACAAGAGCGGAGAACTGTGGCCACCAAGAACCAATACTGGTATAACTCTTCCACCAGCCTGATGTGTGATTCCACCCTCATCCTCCTCCCAGCACTGCATTAGGACCAGGATGCATAGACTGCACAACATCTCAAGTGCAGTAACTTCTGACCTGCCAAAACTTCCAGGCACAAGATAGCTCTCTAAGATGCTTCAGTATCTTTGCCTTTCAGGCTTTACTCCAAAGGAAAGTACTGATGGAGAACTGCTTAAGTTATATTCCGATGTATCACAGGAGCTTGCAAAGGTCTTTATATTTGCTTTAAATGAAAAAAAAAAAAAAAGAAGCAAAACCCCACATATAAACTCAATGTAAAAAAATGGATCAGTACTGTGTAGAGACTGGTCTTGCAAATCTCTAGATGGAGGAACTGTTTGGACCCCCTCTTTCATGGCTCCATTTTTGCTCCTGTTGTCAGCTTGATAACTAGCCAGTCTTTTACTGGTTTGGTTTGTGGCTACAAGGTTATGAGAGATGCTTATTTACAGTACTACTTCAATAGCTGGTCCTCTGACTCTTGGAAGGAACCTTGTGAACTCCCAGAGATAAAGAGAACCTGAAGGATGGCTAAAGGTAACCAGTGTTTATACCCTATATGATGTGAGGCTTTAGTAATTTGCTGTGGCTCCGTTATCTTTTATAGCTTCTGTGGAAGCAGACACCCAATTCTTGCAGCAGTGCAGGAAAGAAAAACCACTGAATGTTGATAACTATATCACTCTTGATGATATGTGATTCCACTACCCTGGCAGCACAGATCTTTACAAATAGTGTTTAGGTCTCACAGCAAACACACAAAATGCCTTCATCGGGGAACATTCAACTGGTTGATGGCTCTCACATGCACTGCTGGGATATTTTGGCATGATCTGGACTGTGGCAGGGGGGCAACAGAATGGAGGGCTTTAGCAGCAGCTGCTGTCTCCTGCTTGTCAACTTCCACAGTCTTAACATGCTTTCCTAATGCTCCTATTTCTCTTCTGCTCCTCGCTCTAGATGGTTTTTTCCCTTTCTCCAAGCTACTGGTTTCAGTGCAGGATTGAGCAGAGAGGAGCAACACCTAGGGCACACAAAAGGTGATCTGTTTCACACTAAAAAATCCCAGATGCCAAATCCCATGGTTACTTTACAGCTGAATTCCTCCTGGCTGAGGATGCTCTCTTCCATAAGGAGCTGCCAATTTGGATTTCTAGGTTGTGGCTTTAACAATATTGTGTAGTAAATGCTTAGAAGCTGGTTTCTTCAAAACAAAACAAAAACTTGAACAACAACAAAACCCCCAAGCCCCTGAAGTTTTTAACAGTGCATCAAATACAACCAGTATGATTGAATTATTTGTATAATTTCACAGGACATGAACAACTTTAACAGTTTTTCTTCCTTCAAAGCAATTTATTCACTTTAAAGGAAGGTTAATTAAAGGTAGTCAAGCTTCCCAGTAGTGGAACACTGAATTTCCTGGCTGCTGCCCTTAGCCAGGTACGGGATTGCTGCTAGGCACCTGTTGTTCTTACCATCTTTCTCTATCCCCCACTGCATGGTGTTGTATGCAGGATAATGCACTGAGTGCTCTGTTCTCCTTGGCCAGAATA